CCTGCCTGCCTGCCTGCCTCCCTCCCCCCACCTTAGATGTTGTGAATTATTTACACATTAGGTAAATAAGTGTTAAGAATATAGTTTCTCTTTGTGCGTCTTCAAACTTTATATAGGAAGGCTACCAAGCAGTAGCTGAGGAATTACACATCAATGCTAGAATTGGCGTATGTATGTATGTATGTATGTATGTTTGGAACATTTGTTCCATAAACATTTGATATTGTTACCGTAAAACAACTAGTGACATTCAATTTAGCCTCAAGCTATTTTAAGCCTGATTTCGCCTATATTCTATTATTATTCTAGTTCAATAGAAGAAAAGTATTGGATTCTGACGAGGAAGATTAATTAATGAAATGTGAAGACAGTTGCCAACTGCAAATCATCTGGAATATGTCAAGGAAAGTATGTTCTATCGTAGATGAAAGTTTACACAATGTTCTGTACACGTTCTTATAAAAAGGAAAACAGATGAGCCTGCCTTCTGTATAATTAAGTGAAATGGTTTTCTTAGATGTGTTTTGTATAAAGGGCTTGAGAAATAGGGATTCACTCACTATTTCTTGGGCTTCAGCTTTCCTTTGACACCATGTAGTTAAATTAACTCTGCAGCTGGCAGACGTGTTGATGTATTTGCCCTGCCTCTCCTCCTATAGGCGCTTCATATCCTATAGGAAGTGAAATTCTATCTTGCCGACAGACAAGAGATTTTAAGTCTGCAGGCTAAATACATATTGGAAAGAGAATTTCATTTGTATATTTAAACTTGGGAGGAATATGCTGCACCCATACATTTCTTAACCATGAATAAAAGATGAGCAGCAGCCATGGCGTTTACTCTTTCCCCTAAGTAAAAATTCCCACCTCACTTTTGATTATCTTAGCTCTGATTAATGCCAGACAGGATTCCCTGATAGCTATGTTTTTGAAACTGGCTTCAAAGCCTGATTAGCATTACCATGGTTTCAAAGGAGCAGAAATACTGTGTATACGTTACATGCCACGTCAGGACCTTTCCTGAAGTTTTGCTAAAATTGGTTTGGAACCAAGCGAGACAGGCTGGTTCACAAAAATATGGCTCTATAATGTATTGTTGACTGATTTTGCTGCATTGCAAATTCAGGATGCTTTGCTTAGAACATCATGAAATGTAATTAAAGTCTGCTTGGGAAAAATCATCTTCCACTATGTTGTTTTTATACAGAAGCAGGTTCGTAAATGCTTCAACTTTGGGGCATAATTTAGCCAAAGTTAATTTTAAAGGTCTTTTTAAAAGGAGATTTTAATGTACACGAAGATCAACTGAAGAATGGTTTCTGTATTTTGTCTTGGTGTAACCCACCACTACATAAACATGTTCATTTCTACCCAAGCTATTTCCCAATTTCAGAGTTGTAAGGCAGCTGCTCAGATCCCAAGACCATCTTACATGCACAATGCCATTGTAAATACATGTTGTGCCTTTTTGTTACAGAATATGAATGTTTGATCCATGGCATACAATCCACCTATCCTATGTAAGTCAGAACGTTAAAAGACAAGTTATTTTTCTGACTTGTATGGGTTAAATATATAGAGCTTTGAAATGTATTAAAATCTTTCCATTAAGCAAAGTTAACTATGGGCAATTATTTGTCTATTCCTATTCCACAAAAAGTATTTCTTCTTACCTACATTCTGTACAACATTGGAAGTCTTGCCCTGTATCTGTTTAGGATGGTGGCCATAAATGTGCAGTTTTCCATAGAGTTTTGAGGACCACAGAAGTTGTGTTCACAGATTGTGCCAAGACATAATTTGTTTCTTGAATAAGCCATTACAGTTGGGTTGACATAACGCATTAAACTATATTGTGTAAAGCCAGCCATGTACTGGAACCCAGGGATCACCAAGCAGGTGGAGGTTTCATCCTGCATTCAGATATCACGTTGTTCCTCAAGACATGCCTTGTGTTCCAGAAATACGGGTATCAGCGACAGCTTTGAACATTTTAGGAAACTGCTTTGACACTCACAGATTAAGTTTCAAATCATGACTTAAATTAAAGAGCCGTACATTAAGAACACAGAACTGTTAATTTTACTACTTTAGTTTACATCATTTGGCACAAGTCCAAGGCACATAAGAAAATTAGGTGAATCGCTTAGTAGAAAAATAGACCTCTTCAGCAGCAAGCTCTAAAGCTCAATTTTTAAACCTTATATTAATGTACTATACAGAGAAATCCTAAGACAACCTTACTACTTAAAACAAGTTATTAAACATATTAAACCAATTTAAAAAGCACACAATTTTGTATACAAATATTACATAAACGCAAAATATGAAATGACCAAAATTATTGCGCTATTCACCATAATTGACTTGAATGTTCACCTAAAGTTGACATTCCATTTCTAAAAGTGCACAACAGACTAATTGGAAATGCCTTTGAAAGTAAGGGCAAGGAAGCTGCTTCTCAAAAATTGCAACTTAAAACCGATGTGCTCTGCTTAACTAGGCTCACTGAAAGGTCTGTTTTTTTGTGCCACAAGTATATAATTTAAAATAGCAAATGGGGCTGGGCTGCTGAGTTGTGTGGGTGTTCCATATACTGTAATACAAACATGTTCTGAATATAAGTTTCAACTCTGCTCATGTAGGGGGAATTCTTTTAATAGGCTTCTACTCTCTTCTGCATGATACAATGTACCCTTTGTTAAAGGCCATTACTCTAATTTCCCTATTCCAACATGGTTATCAGTGTACGACCTCCATTGCAATAAATTCAGTGAGCACTAAATGAGCTATGCAATTTTGCCTCTTTAACTTTTAAACACATCTCATACTGTTGGGAGTACTGGAGGCATTCCATCGATCAGCATAAATTAGCAGTTCAACTAAAACCTCTGCCTTTTCAGAATAAAATAGAACAGTCCTTGGAAAAGCCATTAAAAAGAGTTTTGCTCTCACATACCTATTATTACTAAAATTGATTAGAGAGTGCAATACTATGGAATATAGATCTGACATCTCAATATATATATCTAGGTGTTTTTTTTTTTTAATATAGATCTGTTGTAGGGGATTTTAATGATTTATTCAAAAATAAACGGGAATGTCAGTCTCCAGAAGTGCAAACTCCGTGCCAAGTAAGAGGAGGAGGCTTGGCTTCCTGCTGAATGTCCATTATAATTTTGAAAACCTTGATCCCAAGTAGCTTCTTTAACGTTGAATGAGAAAACGACTCCTCCTGAATCTTGTGTTTCTTATGTAAGACTTCCTTGTTCATCTTTTTTAGAGCATCAATCCTCAGGACAGCTATCAGTGGAAGCAGCACTTGGATCTTTGGATAAACTGCAGAAGTCACTGATATCTGTTGTTGAAAGTGCCACACTAACAGTGTGACTCTGATGTATTTGTTTATTTCTAAGAGGTGCTCTCTCTGCATCAACCTCATCTTCAGCTGTTACAGATCCACTGTTGGCATCAAGATTATGAGTTTGGATTTGCTCTAGCACATCCACTGGATTCTGTTTGTTCTTATCAAAGTTCTTGATAGCTAGCTTAGAGAGGAAGGGGAAAAAAGGATGGTAGTGTTTATCTTGCAGAAGTGCAAAGAATCTAAAAAGAAGAGCCATTCTGACTGTTCCATGCCCCCCAAAAGCCCACATTTATATTTGTTTCATAGATTTCCGACCCACCTTTCCTCCAGGAGCCTTGTTCCAAATTTCTATTGTTTTGTACTGCTAAAATCTTTGAAAAGTGTCACACTTTGTTCCAAGCTTGAAATAAGTGCATGCCCTAATCAGATACATTTATAATCCCAAGCTGGAGAGTACTGTGTAGGTCATGCAATCCTTATCATGGAATCAAGAAAGGCATTTCAAAAAGATAGCCATCCAGCCTTTCTGGATGATTTCTATGGAGGGCTACTTAAATAACTCCTTATCATTCACATCTTTCTCCTAATTTCAGTAAAAATTGATCCTCTATGCCTTGATTCCATGAAATCTACTGTTGCTTTGGGTGACAGAATCCTGGCAGCATCTTAGAATCTGATTTTACACTCATGCTCAGCAGTACATCACAGATCACTAGACACACAGTCATTTCAGCAAGAGTTTAATTCGGCTCTCCAACTTGACAGATCACTCAGATGCGATTTAGCTACTTCAGAGTCTATCACAGATAAGAATGAAGCTTTAACACACAGCTGATTGCCCAGTGCAGAGAATTCAGGGCCTTTATATATGTTTCAGGTTTAAACTCTGATTTTCTTTCTTCTACTTTTCCAAATTAACAGGTATTTGGTGACCTTGGATGGCTGAGGCACACTTATGCAACAGTCTTCTCCAGCCTGGGAACCAGTGGTTCCTGCCCACCTTGCCAGCCTCAGCCCTTCCATTCGGTTATTTTTGAAAGGTTACCTTGCCTTCAACCTTTCCTCATAAGAATTATTTCCATAATTCTACCTTTTTTGTCTTCATCTTAACAGGATTCCAGAGGAATATGTCTTTTTAAAGTGCAGATGAGCAATCATTTAAAATATTACACACTTCAGAGTAAGGACTTGACCGTGTATAGCAAAGGTATTCTAACTATCTCCTACTATTATACCCAAGAAGCTTAAGATGGAATGTAACTCATTTTAACTTCCTAATATAGGTCCTCATTTAACAACAGTTCAAAGTTACGACTGCCTCGGAAAAAGTGTTTTACCACCTGTACTTGCACTTATGACTGTCGCAACCTGTCATACTACCACCCTTGCCATCACGTGATCGTGATTTATGGCTTTTTTACTATGGTCATTAAGCAAATCACGTTATTAAGTGAATTCCAGCAAAAACCATCCATTGGAGAAGTTGAATTTGTTCAATAACCATGTGATCTGCTTAATGACCATTGTAAAACCAGGTCCGTCACATGACTCACTTAATGACCATCCTGCTTAACAACCAATTTTCCAGTCCCTATTGTGGCCATTAAGTCAGGATTTTCTGTAGATTGTGAGTTAGGCTTAGCTGAGTGTGTGTGATGAAGCTCCAGGTTATCTGGTCTATTCCCCAGTAAACTAGATTTGAATTATCTTCCTTTACAATCATACATTCTATTTATTACATAAGAACAGTCACTAGAATCCAGAACAAAATGAACACCTCCAAATTCTCTACCAGGCAGCAATATTTCAACTGAAATAGGCTCAGCTTGTCTTCATTTCTTTAGAAATAAATTCTCTTTCCTTGGAAATAAATGCCAGCAGATGCCATTTCAAGTTTATAAGTACAGTGGTGCCTCTACTTATGAACGCCCCTACTTACGAATTTTTCGAGATACGACCAGCTCCGGCCCCAAAAATTTACCTCTACTTACGAACTCACCTCGACTTACGAACCAGAGCCACGGCCATTTTCCGCCCATTCCACGTGGTCCGCGGCCATTTTCCGCCCATTCCACGTGGTCCGCGGCCATTTTCCGCCCATTCCACGTGGTCCGCGGCCATTTTCCGCCCATTCCACGTGGTCCGCGGCCATTTTCCGCCCATTCCACGTGGTCCGCGGCCATTTTCCGCCCATTCCACGTGGTCCGCGGCCATTTTCCGCCCGTTCCACGTCCGCAGCCATTTTTCCACCCGTTCCACGTGGTCCGCGGCCATTTTCCACCCGTTCCGCGTGGTCCGCAGCCATTTTTCCACCCATGCCACGTGGTCCGCGGCCATTTTTCCACCCTGCCGCATGGTCAGCGGCCATTTTTCCGCCCTTGACGCATGGTCCGTGGACGCCGGAACGGATTAACGGTAATTACATTGAACCTTATGGTAAAATTTACTTCGACTTGCGACCAACTCAACTTGCAATCAGAGTCACAGAACGGATTAAGTTCGTAAGTAGAGGTACCACTGTAGCAGAATGCCTTGTTAAGATTTTGCAAGGCTAAATTTAAAATTTTACACTGAAAGAGAATTAAATCTTCACTGCTAACATTAGCCACTCTTCCTTTCTCATTTTCTTTGCAGCAAAAATTGGCAAATCTAGCTTTAGGTCTTGGCAGCCACACAGGCCTCTGCCTTACCTACACAACTTCCTTCCTTTCCTCTCCACCTGCCTAGTGCCCCAAATGTTCATTTTCTATTCTATAAAAAATTAGCTAAAAGTTTCATCTCATGCAGAATTTATTTGCGTTTTAAGAAATAAACAACATTGCATTAATACCCAACCATTATACCTACCTGATGCAATAATTCTTCATCAAAGTTAGGCAGGCTTTTATCTTCCGTTACTGCTTTGCGCAAGTCTCTTGATCTAAGAGAACACAAGATGAAAATTAAGTCACTCCATGCTTCAGGATCCCCCACGTGCTTCCTCAGGCCATCCACCAGGTGGCAATATTACAGCTGAAAGAGGACTGTTGTTTTCATTTCTGATGCTTGGCCTTCCTTGGAAATAAATGCTGGGACATGTCATTTGAAGTCTGTAAATTCAAAGCTCTGAACCAAACCATTTAAAGGTATCCTCTGGACTATAAGCCATTCCTCCAACTGTTTAAATTAAAGGTAGCTAACTTGCCAATCATTATATGTAAGAGGCGTTTCTGTGATGCATTTTACAGGCAATTAATTTTAATGTTATTAATTCATTTAGGTGTTTTTCTTTTTGTCCCAGCCCTGTCCTTTTTGGTATGTGGCTTCTGATGGGTGCATATATAATCATACATGTATGCACACGCAAATGTGTCACATACACATTTTCTGGAGAAGGGGAAATCTCCAAAACTTATTTTCAGCAGGTTTTGGCAATCCTAGGTTAACAAGGTAAGGAAGCTAACATTGCACATGACTTTTGAGTTTATATATTTTTCTTCTATGCATCCTCTCCTGATTTGGATGGATCATCTCAAATTCAAAATTATCTTCCTTCTGGGTTAAGTTCAGTAATCTTGAAATGCGCAGGCACCCAGCATAGGGTCCTAAAACAGTCCACTCATTTCTAGTACAGTCTATATAAGAACATCGATAATGTCAATTAATTTGCACAAAAGTTAATAACTGATATGCCTTAAACATGCCCCCATAATTGAGTGAAGACCATCAAGAGATCCAGTCCTTATTAAACTTCCAACACCTGAGACAATGTCAGCTGTTCTCATTTGCTTGACAACAGCTTTTAGAATTAGCATTTTAAATACTTCACAAAAAAATTGAAGCCTACTTGTTAAATTGGTGGATTGACTTGAGTAGTTGAAGATGTCGGGCAACAAGATCATCCGCTGTCTCAGGAGTCTTAAAACTGACTGCAGATTTAAGGTACAAAATCTGTGAAATTGGCAGTATCTTTAGAACTTGGCTAGGCAATCCTCTGTTAAGATGAAGAACAGCCAGTTTAATCTGCTTTTTTGACAAGTCACCAAAGCTGGAGAGGCCTGAGTAAGTTCAACTTCATGGTATTAATGCACCTTATAATATGGAATGAATTCAATTACGGCTGGATCAATGCATCAGGCAGAATGAGACATGGAACAGAGTATACATTTTTAGGCAGCAAGTGCAGGATACATTTGGATGCTCACTTTACAATAATAAAACTTTCACTGCATGTAGAAAACAAAGTATAGCTAGTCCTCATTTAGTGACCACAATTAGGACTGGTAACTTGGTCATTAAGTGAAGTGGTTACTAAGTAAAATTGCGACTCTGCTTATGATCTTACTTCAGCTTTCCTCTGCTTTATAGATCTACAGAGGTTGTAAATGTTAGGGCTGGTCACAAAGTTGCTTTTTCATCCCTCTGGTCACTAAATAGGTCAGTTGCTAAATGAGGACTGCCTGGAGAGGCTTGAAACTTTCTCACTGCTACGTTTGTAAAAACTCCAGCAATACTCAGTGAGAAATCTGACCACTAGCCGTCCTTCTCTTGCACACACAGAAAGAAACATACTAGCAAAGACATAAGATCCTTTTTTCTTTTTTTTGGTTCAGCAATCAAAGAATGTTCCTGTGTTCTTGCTCCTTTGTAGGACTATCTTATTCTTAGTAAGCTTTCACTAGTCACAGTGGAGCACTCACTTTTTTTCCTGATCTTCCGGGTCATGTGAGCTTTGCAGAGTATCTGTTCTCCCTCCTCGGCGGATACTGCAGCCTGAAGAAGCTTGAGGAGCCCTGAATTCTTTAAACAGGGTGGAAGAGAAAGGATAAATGGGAGGATTTGGGCTTATTAAAATGATTACTGAATCCCACTGATGTTGCATATGTCACCCAACTATAGCAGCTTGAGATTAATTTAGAACCTATTATCCCACTTCTAAATCTGATACAGTGCAGAAGAGGAAAAGACTGCATTGAGTGGACAAAGACTGTATTGCGGGCAAGAGGCCCTGGGTTCAGTGCTCAACATCTCCAAGCAGACCTGGCTTATGTTATGAACTGGTGGTTCACGGTTTACTGAGTAGACCACAATGGATTGGCTTTGAAGGACATATTTATCAACAATGGTTTAAAAAATTCACTGCCATGGATCATACGTAAGTAAAGACATGACTTGAGCATGAAGTGCAACCTAGTCATTCTAAGCAATCATGAGCTCGATGAAGCAATGACCTGACTTGGAGTAGGACATTTTTGTTTTCACAGATAGCCCTCACTTAACTATTGTAACTGGGATTGGAATTTCCATTGTCAAGTGATGAGGTTGTAAAGCACAATATCATGTGACTACACCACTTAGCAACAGCAGTTCCAACAGTCCCCAGTTATTGTTGTTAAGCGAATCACCACAGGTTATTAAACAAGGACCTCACTTTACTGCAACTTCTGACTTCCTGCTGGCTTCCCCATTGATTTTGTGGAAAGCCATCAGGGAGGGTCACAAATTGCAATCACATGACCACGGGATGCTGCAATGGTCAGAAATCTGGGCTGGTTGCCAAGCACCCGGACTGCAATCATGTGACTGCGGGGGTGCTGCGACAGCCAGAACTTTGAGGACCAGTTGTAAGTACCACTCATTCAGTGCTGTGGTAAGTTTGAGCGGTCACTGAACAAATGGTCGTTAAGAGAGGACCACCTGTATGGGTTCTATCAACCAACTCATGCCTGGTTGCTATGGTCATGTTAAGGCTGGGAGGTATATTGTTAGCCCTATGAAAACTTAAGCATTTCTAGGCATACATGATGATTCTGAGGCTTCATGCGCCACTTACAGGCTCAGCATAGTCAAGGGGGGTGCACTGCCTGTTGTTCCTAAGGTGGACCGATGCGCCATACTGCAGCAGCAACTGAACCAAAGCTTTGTAATTTCCTATCACCGCTTTGTGAAGAGGTGTGTTGCCTTGGTTATTGGAAAGGTTAACTGAGGCTCCATGCTGGAAAAGCAAAAATGGAAAGGTAATATACATGGAAAGGAGGAAACAGACTTCTTTTACAAGCCATGCTTGCCAACTTTGATTATCAGAGCCTTCAAATTTCAACTGATTCATTAGTGGGCAATATAGGTTAATCTGTGAGGCTTCTGCAACAAGAAATTCAAAGGAAATACATAAGACTTCCTTGGTAAGAGTATTCAAGAGTTTTAAGCATTGAGTTCCCACTCTTTTTAGAATATCTCCTAAAATGTTTCTATAGCAGATTTTTATTAAAGTCTGAGGAAAAGACTTTTCCTATGTGTGCTATCTTATCTTTTCAACTAGGAATGCAGGAACTGATCTTTTTCTGTATGACTACCATGAGCTCAACAGCTAAACTGGAGTTTCTCTCCAATCCTTTTATTTCACACATTTCCTCCAAGGTTTTAAGAGATGACATGCACGTTTCTGTCCCTTCTCTTCAAGACACTCTTGTAAGATGAAGTGAGAAAAAGTCAGCCTGTATACTTTAGCCATATAGCAGCATCCATAATGCCAGTAATGTAAAATATATATATTTTAAAATAACCAATTAACAGGGAGATTATAAAGACTCTTGAGTTTCCTCTTCTCATTTTCTGTCCCCTTTGTCCATTTTTCCCTTACGTCTTCTACATTTCTACTCCAAACCTCTGGGCCAGGACTTTATTTCACATCTTATAATAATACCATTAATAACAATTGTTATTCAATTACTGTATTCATTATCACAAGCATCACTAATAATATCCCATTCCTGATATAGCAGAATGTTCATCTCCTGCTATCAGTTGCATAGCTGAACTAATAAACTGTAGATCACCCTACCCTAGGGTCCTTTTCATTGACAAACTACAAACTATAGCCTGGTTCAGATGTAATGGGAAGTTTATAACTATATCAACTCCCTTGTCCCTTCCCCCTTCCTCACCATCACAAGACAATTGGAAAGAGATGCACACAATTTTAAACAAACCACGTATCTCTGACTTTCAAATGTGAGAAATAAGTTTCTGCAAACATGAAAACAAATGTTTTCAATCTCAGTCCTTGCACTTATAAAAAAGGAGTAACTGATTCACGATTACCAAATACAAAAAAAATTAAAAACGGGGGGAAAATATTTAATAACAATCCCTCACCTGTAATAAAAAGGCTGCTATGTCCTGATAGCCATTCAAGCAAGCATACATTAAGGGAGTATTTCCATAAATGTCCTTTTTGTTTTGCTTAGCACCCCACTCTATCAGACATTTCACTACCTGTTGAAAAAAAGGGTATTATGACTATTTCAGTTTCAACACAAAACGAGCAGAACAAAAACTTTTCATTTCCACGCTCTACGGAAAAAAAGTTTGAAATCTGCTGCTTTAATTATTGATTTTGATTATGTGCCATCAAGTTGGTGTTCACTCCTAGTGACCACATAGATAAGATTTTCTCCATGACAATCTGCCCCTAACCTAGTCTTTCAGCTCTTCTAATGGTGCCCCCATCACTACTGTAACTGAGTCCATCCACCTTGCTGTGGTCATCCTCTTCTCTTTCCTTCCACCCTTTCCCAGCATCAGAGCCTTTTCTGGAGAGCTAGATCTTTGCAATAAGGTGTCCAAAATAGGATAATTTGAACCTGGTCATTTGTGCCTCAACTGAGAACTCTGGGTTGTGCTTTAATTATTATCAGCAAGAATACAGCTGGCGCCACAGTTTGCCTGGAGGCCAATGTATTCATTCATGCGCTCCCTAGCTGTCTCATCTCAGCTCAGGGGCTCACCTGAAAGTGGCCATTCTGGCAGGCAAGGTGGAGAGCTCCTGCTTGGTTCACATCTTTGGCTGCAATGTTTGCTCCATGTTTCAGTAAGAGGGCTACCAGGTCCACATGGCCATGTAGAGCAGCGACATGCAGTGACATCAAGCCAGTTTGATTTGTAGAATTCACTCCAAGGCCATTCGAGGGAAGCCTGAAGAACTTCTGTTGGGAGAAATAAAAACAAATGCACAGGACATCAGCCCAGCATTTCTGCATGACCCCCACCCAAGCTGAGATCAATACAATACAGAAACAATCACAAAACACACCATGTTTCATTTCACAGTTTCAATGTGTTATTGTGAGCTGAGCCAATGCAAAATGCACTGACATGAAACCATATTGGTTGTGATCATTAAAACAGATTTAAACAACCCCATCTGTTTTGCAAAGCAGCTACAAAAGGAAAGAATTAGGAATCTGGACTTGAACCTGGACTTCAAATCTTCTTCACCATGAGATACCTTGGGCAAGCTGATATCATTTACAAAAAGAAAGCCTTGGAAGGAAGCCAAAAAGCTAGTCAGTCTGATCCTCTCTTAAAAAAAACCCAAACCTTTATCTAAAATTCAAACCAATTTTCCCAATCTGGTGACCTCCAGAAGTTTTGAACTTGCACCTGGGAGCTCCCTGATCCAAGTCCAACATGATACCCATACACTATACGAGTTATACTTGCACTGGGTTCAAATGAATAGAAACTGAAGTTTTACTCAAGACTGCCACCTCCAGCTGTAATCAACCACCCTCATCTAAGCATCCCAGGAGAACCTGCCAGTGATCCTCCATTTCAACAAATTCCACCACACGGAGGCTTGAAAGTGCAGCTCTTTTGTGCCACACCTATATTATAGAACAGCCTTTCCTTAGAAATGAAGCTGTCTCCCTGCAAATTATTGTAAACTGAGTTGTTCTGGCCGGCCTAGTGTGAGTGACAGGAGCCTCTCTCGACATTTACTTTCATATTTGTATAGGTTTCTGTGTTCCAATTGGACTGCTCTTAGCTTTTATGCTCCTTAGCACTGTAAACACCAAGTCTGGCAGGTATAAATTTGATAAACAAAATGTATCATTTGTAGTCCTATTACTTTTGCACATTTATTCAGCTGCACCCCAAAACTCAAAGTAAGAGGCCCTTGAACTACAAACTTATAAATTAAAAATGGCAATCTCAATTACCAGAGGAAAAAATGAGAGATGACAGGAAAGACACAAGACTGATGGGAAACGAAGATCTCAGCTTACTTGCACAGGTACAAAACCTCCCTGAAGCAGAGGATGAGAAAACGCCAGAAAAAGCTGTAGAAGAGACAGCTGAGTCCATCCTTTGGAAAACCTTCTACTCCTCTTCTTAGCAGCAGAATGAACTCCCCTCTATCAGCTGCTCAGTCCTTACAACAGCCCAACTGGTAAGGAAAGCAGCTTTTTCCCAGCAGCTCATGGGAGCATCTTTAGAAGGCAAGTACGATTAATCACAGACTTCTCACAAGCCACGTATGTGCCAACCCAATAGGAGCAACCACCAACCTTTTGCACTGGACTACATCTAGAACACTGACACAAAGGATGACATAATTCTGGGGTCCCCATACTGCTGGCTTCTTTGGGATCTTCCAGATCATCTTCCACCCATTCCAAGAGATAACGCACCTGTAATAAATGCAGAGGGTGGGGAAAAGCTGTTGTTCGTTCAGGTCTCATTCATTACAGGGATCCATCTTTATCTGCTCTGCACCCCTTCGTAAGGAGTCTCACAGCACATTAAAAACTAGCCTATCAGAAAAAGCCTAAACTAAAACATTCTGCCTCTGGAAATGTAGTTTTCTGTGTGAAAGGATTTTTCCCACCTGGGCATACGGAGGCATTTTGAAATCTTATCACTCCACAGGTCTGACGTTCTTCAGCCCAGGGGTAATCACGCCACTTCAGCAAGAACAGAACAGCTGTCTAGTATTTTCTCAGAAATGGGCAAATTAAATGAGACGTGCCAGAAGACATAACGTGGCACCCTCGTGACATTTCATTTCCTACGAGGCAAATGAAAGAACAGTTAAATGTTCTCGCTGCCAAGATGAATTTGCTAAGGAGATGTGATATACATTAGAAAAGACATCCCCTCTTAATCTAGACTTTGATGTTCCCCTCTGCTCAAATCCTTTTAGCCGGGATTGCTGGAGATTAAAAACCAGAAAGCTTTGCACCAGAATAGGCCAATGTCTTTCCTTGCTGCTATTTCAGTTATCTTTTCAATATACTTCATGTTTGAGGCCAGAATGCTGATTTTTATCTAGAAGAAATACAGTTTGCTTGCAAAAACAGGGCTTTGCTCCCCCAGCCAGAGATGAGGGAAGCATAGGGAAATTCTTGGTTTCAAGCTTTGTACGTGGGGAAAGCCTTTTTACAAGCACTGCTGTTTAGAGACTGTAGTGCTGGCTCTAGATCTAGAGGAGGGATTCTCTTGGAGCAGGTGGCCTTCCTCTCTCCTTAGGAATCCACCTTCTTGGTACCTTAAGTAACATTGCCTATTTGTGTGCCTCCTCTTTTAGGTCCAGTCAACATCATCTTCCAAAGCCGTGTCTCGCGTCTACATCACAGTTTGCTATATGGCTACATCATAAATGATTGCTGAGAAAACACAATGGCTGTGTTCATATAATTGTGAAGCCAACCCAACCCAATCACGCTTAGACTAAGGTGTAAATTGAGGTAATGTGTAAGAACTGTAACTCTAAATATACACTCTTTAGCTCCCATAGCTCACTGGCTCTGTTCGTTTCTCACAACGAAACCTAGAAGTGAAGCCAGCGGGTGCTTTCAGGCAAAGCTGTTATGTGCAATTGGTTTGTATGACAACTTGGCTAGCTTTCGACAAAACGCTTAATCTTCAAGTCCCAGTGGGTACATTCTCCTACTATATTAAACTCGGGGTTATCTGTGGTTAGATTTTGCATGATTGAGCACCTTGTGTGAACTCAATGATTAACCAGTTTGGTTAATTCAGTAACTAAGCAGACAATATGAACCCAGCCATTGTCTGCCATCTTGCACAGAAAAGTTATTACAGGGGAAAAAATGGAAAATGTGGGAGCTGTCCAGAGTAGTTTTGAATGTGGGACAGAGTGGTGGCATCATCTTGGCCTTCACCTTAGATAGCAAAACATCTTAGGACAGCTCTTTATCTACTTAGCCCTTCTCTTGAGATACAGGAATTCCTGGCAGAGCAGCAAAAGCTCTTACTGCTATTGCTAATCCACAATTCGCACAATCCCTGGATTCATGCCATATTTAGGGTCTCAGTTTCCGATCCCGGCAGAGGGAAGATCACACATAATGCCCAACCATGGTTTACTGAATAAGCTAAATTGGCCAGATTTGCATAACACAATCAGTGAAAAGCAAACAGAGTTATCTGATGCATGAATAACTTAGCAAACTGACCAGCATTATGTCTCAATTGGGGCACAAGATTTTATCATCTTTTGCATTAACATTTTTGAAACCCTACATACATCAAAAATACAAATAGTATCATTTGCCTTGCTGAAGAGTGTCACAACTGTAAAAGGCTTCCAAAGAAGAGAGTAAAATTGCTATGGCAATTTCTCTGTCATCCCTGGAGACAGTAAATAATGCAAATTATAGGATGGGAACCGCCAAGTTAATATTGCTCTATAGAAAGGAAGATTTTGAAAAGCTAAACACCCTCCATTGCTTTTTACCTAAAGAGTGTGTGTGTGTGTGTGTGTAAATAGGGCTCTGTTAGGATCATTAGGTCTTCCATTACTTCTTGTACAGAGCTGATACTGTTATTATAGAACAATGATGCAACAAAGCCTGTTTTCATTCAGAACTACTTTTCTTGTGAAAAATAATGCTCCTAGACAGGATTATCAAAATTCAAGCCAAGAACATTGCATCAACCAGGAATGGCATTTTTTAAGAATGGCACAAATTAAGCTATATAGTCAAACTCCATACATACATAATGCATAACGTAAGTGGGACTTCAACTGTAAGTTGTCATACTACTGCTCAGGCTTTCAGCTGGACATGTCTTCTTGCAAGGTCTTCGTATTGTCCTCCTTCCCCATGGAAAAGATGATGAAGCAACTCACACCCCCTGAACATTTTTTGGCCCTTATTTGGATGCTTTTGTAATCAGCTTAGATTTTCTAATGGTGTCTGAAAACCTCAGGATCACCCCCAAACATTTAGCTGTTCCTACTATCCAGGATGGTGAGCAACTGGAACTGGGAGATATTTTCCAGCCTGGCCAGCAAAAAAAGTGAGAGTACAATCCTGGCCATTCCCATTATGCAAATGATGATCTATTTCTACTTGATTATCTTTAAGAACTTCTGGCTTATAGGTGGGAAACTCTACTTAGCACCATCATCAATGTATGTGCCCATAAACATCTACAATCTCGTGAATCCAGTGAGCTCTTCTTACCATCTCCAAGTCTCCATCAGCAACTGCTCTTAAAAGTTTGTCCACCTACAGAATAAACAACACCAGAAAGAGAAAGCATTTTAGCTGAATTGCCATCTACTACAGAATTGATATACAGCATTGCAAAATGGGGTTCTGTCCTTATGACAAGTCCAGAAGCTACAGCACGTGCAGAATGGGGCAGTGACCATGAACGTGTTAGATGGTTGCTGAAGCAATTACAATGGCTTCCAGTTATACAGGTAGTCCTTGGGTTAAGAACGGCCAGTTTACAGATGACCCAGTAAAGAACAGAGCCTACTGTAGCAAAATTTGAGTTAAATTCACAATGATTCGAGTTAAATACACAATGGTTCGAGTTCGTTACACAATACTACTTATACAGTATTAG